GCGGGGCATATGCAGCACTGACCTTCAGGGTATCCATCCTCTGCATGGAGACGCTGAACTTTTCTCATTCAGATGCATTGATTCAATTCATCTCTATGAAGAGATGCTGATTGGCCAGGGCTGTGTTTAACCTATGCTGGCTCTGCCCTTATTCTGCCTCCTAGACAGTCTCAGTCAATCCAATGGGAAAGCATTGTGATTGGCTCATTACTAAAACTGTTTGTGTTTAGCTGTAATTTTCCTCTTACTCATTTACTGTACTCACACATATTATATACCATTTTTCTCGCCATTAAGTGGTCTTTCTAAAGATACCATTATTTTAATAATATATAATTTCCTAGAAAAAAGTTAAATATGATGGAAAAAAAACCAAAACACACTTTTGAACTTTAAGCATGGATTCTCAGCTACTGTTAGGTGTTGCTGCCACAGAACACCCCAATATGTGTTTAGCAACATCTCCTGAGTACAGCAATACCACCCATGTATAGGTGTGTCGGGTTCTCTGGGAGTTAAAAGACCTTATTTGGAGGGTGCACATTCCAGTTTTCCAACTTGGAATTTTTACAGCTGGTCATCATGCACCCATTTGGGACATTTTTGAAACCGGCCAATGTAATTTACCCCATCAAACCATGTTTTTGAAAAGTAGACACCCTAGGGTATTTGAAATGGTGGTATTTTAACACTTTCCATGCACTAATTCTACCACCAGTCTCTGTCAAACGTTTGGGTAGTGTTTTTTGTTGTTGTTATTTTTCACACACATTCTACTTTAGGCATGGATTCTCAGCTCCTGTTAGGTGTTACTGCCAAAGAACAATATGTGTTCAGCAACATCTCCTGAGTACAGTGATACCACTTATGTATAGGTTTGTTGGGTTGTTTGCGGGGTGCAAAGCCAAACGTCTGACATGTTTTTTTCAAATTTTATCTTCTTTTTGGGGGCCTTTTTAGATATCCCAATTTATTTTCATGCCATGACCTTGCATATATTTGAAAACTTGACACCCCATGGTATTGTATATGGAGTGCTTTGATGCAATCATTTTAGTCAAAAAATTGGAGAAAGTGTGTGGTGGTAATTTTTCAATTTTTACACACACATTGCTTTTTGATTGTGATTTAGGAGAGCCTGTTGTTGGTTATTGCAAGAAAACACTCCAGGTTGTTTTTTGCAAGGTCTCCTTAGTACACCCATGCCCCCCATGCATAGGTTTGCCAGGATATTGGGCAGGTCCAGTTACAATTGTATGACTTGTAATTTGAGTTGAAATTTAGAGTGTTTCTTCTGATAGGCCTATCTTTAGCGTGGGACTTATCACATACCCCAGTTTTATATATATATTGCCACAAAAGTGTATGTATTTAAAACGTAGACACCCTGAGGTATTGTGTAAATGGAGTGCTTTGATGCAACTGTTTTAAGTGTATGGTGCTAATTGTTCAATTTTCATTTTTACACACATTGCTTTTTGACTGTGATTTAGGAGAGCCTGGTGTTGGTTATTGCAAGAAAACACTCCAGGTTGTTTTCTGCAAGGCTTCCTTAGTACACCAATATAACAAAAAAAACCCTGAAAGGCAAATGTTAAAAAAAAAAAAAAATGGACCAGTGTGTGGTATTGTTTGAAGCAGTCCCCAAATGCACAGTCCAGGCTGTCCAGGGCAATCAGTATCTTTTCTCTGCCCCCTCTTAAAACAGACTCTGCCTCTTTTTTGGGAATTCTGCTTTACTGCAGTAGGGGGAGTTTTAAAAATAAAATGTGTAGCCCCAACTCTGCTCTCTCCCATCACCGCCCAGGGAGCAGGTGCATCACGGTACAAAATCACCGAAATGATCTGGAGCTGAAACTGTAAAAAAACTCAGTTGCAACCTGGGTTTTTTTTTTTTTTTTTTAACAGAAGAGTGTTGTGGGTTGCAACCTTTTTGTACCAGGCCCTTGTCTTGCGTATAATTAAGTAGGGCTGCAGCAGCTGATCTGCCAGATCAACCCCACCCATATGCCGGTTATAGGCCTTAATGCACACTGGCTTCCTTGTGCTCTCAGCTCTGCCACGTACAGAGACCTCCACAGTCCCCTGAGTGTGCATGGTGGTAAGAAGGTATACATCATTCTTGTCTCGGTACTTAACTGCCAACTGCTCCTCTTGGCGCAGAGCTGAGGTCCCCCCCCCCTTTATATCTGGGTGCATGCAAGTTGTCCTAGGAAACCTGCGCTGTTCTTTTTGATTGTACCGCAAGCTACTATATCAAAACAGTACAGTAGCTTGAACAAAGGGACACTTGTATAAAAATTGTCAGTATACAAGTGGTACCCTTTGTTCATCAGGGGGAATATCAGGTCCCAGACAATCTTGCCACTGGTTCCCATATGTTCTGGGCAACCTGGAGGGTCAAGGTGGCTATCCTTTCCCTCGTACACCCGGAAGGCCTGAGTATACCCAGTCTCGCTATCACAGAACTTATACGCCTTTACACCATATCTAGAGCTCTTGGAAGGAATATACTGCTTGAATCCCAGCCTTCCCTTATACTTCATCAGGGATTCATCCACGCATATATTCCTTCCAGGTGTATAAGCCTCTGCAAACCTGGCAGCGAAGTGGGTAATCGGGGGTGGATTTTATACAGCCTGTCAAACTGGGGATGCTCCCTAGGGGGGCACAGGCTGTTGTCGCTGAAGTGCATGAAATGTAGAATCATTTCATACCTCTTCCTCGACATACATTGGGAGTAAATGGGGGTAGAGCAGATGGGGCTACTGCTCCAGTAGGAGCGGATGGAGGGCTTCTTTATGATGCCCATCAGGATAGTCAATGCCCATCAGGATAGTCAATGCCCAGAATCTTTTAAATTCTGGCACATCGATGGGGGCCCATTGCTGCTCTGCCAAAAAAGTGTCAGGCTTTGCAGCACGGAACTGATCGGCATATAAATTAGTTTGGGCGACAATGTTTCCCAATACATTATCGCCCAGAAACCCCTCCATGAACTGCTGAGAGCTAAATCCTCAGACATCCAAATTGATGCCAGGATTTGCAGTACTGCCAGCTGGAGCAGCATGTCTCCTTCTGGCAGGGAGACTAGCAGGCACAGATACAACATAACTAGATGCATACATCACTAGCAGCATACACTGTATCTAGTGATGATGTATCTGACCACCTATCAGGGTCGGAGTCTGACATAGACGCGTCAGACTCTAGCGCAAGGATAGCATTTGCCTGCTCAGCGCTATATGACCTCTGTGACATGATCACAATCACTTTAATTAGTGATCTGTCACAAAAAAAAAAACCCTAAAAAAAAAATGCAGACAGCAAAAAAGTGCTGCTGTGCCAGAGCCAGTGATTATAGTGATCACTGGCAAGATATGGGTTAATGGCTCTGAAAAGAGCCTTTGGGTCTCAAGATTTTACAAATCCTTACCTAAATCTCTGTAGCTAAAACACAAATCTCTAAAAAGTGAAGAGCAGGAGGGAGATCCACACTGATAAGACAAATGGGGAACACACTTGGAATAAAATTGTTATTGGGGCAAGCTGTAATTGGATTACCCTACCCTGCCCCTATAATGAGGCAGGCGAGGGACACCCCCAGAAGCCACATGATGCACTGCCTTTAGAAACACAGCGCCATCTTGGGAGTCACATGGCTGGGGGTTAATATCTATTATTTTATTTATACATCTTCGCTGAGTGCCTCAACCCCTTGAGGCACTTGGCACATGCAGAGCATCTGAAGCCTGCCCGAAGGCTTCTGATGCTCTGGTTAACAGCCAGGCGCCACGTGGAGCAACCTGGAAGTGATCAGCCGGTGCTCTCTGGGTGCCCGGCAGAAATGTACAGTATTGCACGAGCGGCTGGAAGTGATCACGTTCACTTCCAGTGCTCAAAATAGCCACAGGCGTATCGGGTACATCCGAGGTCCTTAAGGACCGTTTTTGTCTGACGTACCTGATACGTCCGCGGTCGGGAAGGGGTTAAATCGGGTTGTTGTTTGCCTCCTATTTCTTCTGGGGGGAGGTGGGCTTGGGCTAGCTTAAGAATTAAGAAGCCTAAGCTGTACAATTTTCCTATGCATTAGTCGGTTCCATCTTACGCTATAATTTTGTACCCAGCTGAGTGCAAAAATGCTCTGGTCCCATGATGATCTGTTGGCGTGTTATGTCAATTTCTTGCAGAATTCTCCAATGTCAAACACTGCAGAGAAGCCACAACACCAAACTCAGCCTTGCTCACAGATCATTACAGATTACTCCAAACTGCTTTTGTCACCAAGTGACTTCCTACAAGGTACAGGCAGACAACTACTTGCCCCCACCAATGTAGGTAAGTATTTACATGACCTTTCAAAGACTGCAGTACTAGGTGTACAAACTATTGTCTGATTCATTGGAGACATCAATTAGTAATATCACTGATTCCATAAATTGTATGCAGGAATGCCTTCTAATAAATTAGACAGTGGTGCTTCAAGCCAATCATTACCTAGTAGTGTGATTGAATGAGCTACTCTATTGCAGTTAATGGGGATCCAGAACCTAACCGCGCAGAAGAAGAAGAAAACCAGACTGCAGCCCTGGAACAAGAACTTCTGAAGATTCACCTCTTGATGCAACAGTATGAGTCTCAAAGGCAGGAATTAAAGTATGTTTCATAATACACCTCATGTATTTAGGCATGGATCTGTAGATATCTTGCAATATTTCTGCAATGAATGACTTATGTGATGCCCTGTTCTTAGGGTATGGCGTAGACATGCAGAGGTGCTGCACAGTTGGTTGGTTACCAGTGACCGTTTACTGAGCTTTGATGAAGAATCTATTAAAGAAGAAGTTAAGCATGAGCTGCAGCAGGTAAAATACCTTAATATAGGCTACAATAATTTAAAAGGTTGCCTGTGTAATGCATATTATATACAGAGCACGTTATATTTTTTTTTTTTTATCAAGAGTGGGGCGGTGCAATTAACCTAAACCCTGTATTGACTGTAGCAGGTAGAAAAATCGGTGGTGTTACATGACTTTTTAATTACTCTTCTCTTTATTTGCCAACAGTTGAAGCTGCAGATTAAGGTGTGCACAGAGCATCTTGCAATGGAGAGAAGGAATGTTCAGGCCTATCTCAAACGAATTGAAGAAATTAGGGTGCTATGCCCTCATTTATAGATTACTGTGGATTAGTGCACATGCTGCTAACAGACATTGTTACAAACGATAACACTTTTTTTTTTAATTATATATTTTTATTTCAAAATGTATGCTATTAAATGAGTTAATGTGTTAGCGAATTCATAACCTTCTCAAACATACAAAAGTAATGTGCTACAGCTCCCACGGGCAGAGTCACACCTCAGGGGATGCCAGGAGGAAGGATTCGGTAATCTCCACAATCATTTCTTTCCCACAAGGGAATGAAGCTATTCTTCAGGAAGCCACTTGCTTCATTAGCTCGAACCATCCTCCTGTGCAATCGGCCTACGCCATTGCCACCTCACCAGTGAGCTGCCGTAGGGGGTTAGCACTTCCCTGAGGTTGAATGATTCTTTATCTTGCTTCCATGTACAGTTTTTCTCACCAACTGATTCTAGAAAGAAAGCAGGAGCATACTTTCGCAGGTTATAAAAGAACCCAAATGATATTAAAATAAGTGCTTCCCCAAGAAGCCTGCACGCATTGTTGCTGGCATTGATTCACCCACACCTCATGGACAAGGGAAAGTAATAGAAACCCTCAAAGTGCTTAAGGTGATGAGGATGGGGTTGCTGTGTGAGGCAGTGATCATAGCTGATGACCTGAATTTGCACACCTTCCCTGCACATATAGGTGGGACATGGCTTAACCTGCACCATACTGCTGCTGGGAGTCTCACCGACTCCTGCATATATTCACATTCCCTGTAAGTATAACTGATATTTCACATGGAGCCCACTGCCTCTCCAAAGTGTATTTTCTGTCCAGGCTTTAGCCGAAAAGTGAAATCTTTTGGTGCTTCAAATATTAGAACAATAGTAGAACCAAGGTTGAATTCTCCCAGTTGCTCCCCTTTCCGCATAACAATCCCATCTTGGTTATGGTTTGTGACATAGCTCAGATCATTATGAGAACCTTTGCTGTAACGAGGGCAGTTAGTTTGTAAATCCTGAAACAAAAGGAGGGAGGAGACAATTAAACATGTAGGATTACATTACAAAAGCAGTTAACTTTTTACAGGGGCAGTTTAGGCAACTCAACTCAGTAGTAGCTTTGAGGTCAGGAAATTCTTGGTACCATCCCACAGTGATTATTTTCTACCAGTTTAACACTGGCCTATTTGTGTGCCTCCAGTCCAGACTCCACTTGCGATACAGCTTAAGGAAAGTTCCTGATGCAATATACATATTACTTTTATCCTTAGTTGTGTGAAATCCATTGTCCCAGACACCATAAAAACTACATCTGGCTGTGGTAATTTTGGTGTCTGGAGTGCCCACTGCTCCATTGCAACCTTCTTTTTAATCGCATTATACAGGCAATGCAAAAATAAATACATTTATAAATGTCTACATTCTCCAAGTTTTCCCAAGTACTAGGAAGTGGGACAAGCCATTCAGTACACATTCTAGGAGGAGCACTGTACATGGCAGGTGCAGTAGAGCCACTGGCTTCAATGATTCCCAGTTGTACTGTGCATGAAGATTATATTTTAAACGACATGCAGATTCAAGCTTTTAGATGCATGAACGTTGTCCATGGGACAGAATTAACATATGAAAGCTGTGTGACATTCTGCTTGATCTTCCAATCATGGCGTTAGAATGCAAACCATAGTCTGGCTAGAGGGCGCAGGGATAAATAAAAACAAATGGCCAACCTGTACCATGTTCTATTAAGCTATTCCTGGCGAACCATGGCAGCATATACCATTGGGTTGGCTCGCCCACTCAGCAAATAGGGCAAAAGGAGTGTGCATGAACAGCCCAAGATTTCATTTAATGTTACTGGCTATTTTTGTAAGCCCAGCCAGTTCAGTCTCTTAAAAATATCCAGCAAACCACACAGAAGTGACAAATGGTTTTACCTAAACGTTGTTTCTTGATAGATCACAATGGTACAGTGTGTAAGGAAACCTCCAGTTTAGCAGTTTACAGGGTGTCCGTTATCACATTTCCATTTGTTTGTGGAATACAGCAAGCTGCAGCAGTTGAACTGCCTCTATGCTAGCTGCCTAGGTAATTTGTTTATTACAAGGTGTCATGTAAGTGCACATGTAGTATGGGGGCTTTCAGTTTTTATTAGCTGCTTGTTTTTTTACTTCCTTATAACAAATGGAAAAACCAGTGCCGGTTATGGCTATACTTAAAAGACCACTATAGTGCCCTGAGGGCTCTGGGGAGAGGAAGGGGTTAAACTTACCTCTTTCTCCAGCACCAGGCGGGGAGCTCTCCTCCTCCGCGCCTGAATGCGCATGCGCGGCAAGAGCTGCGCGCGCATTCAGCCAGTCCATAGGAAAGCATTCTCAATGCTTTCCTATGGACGCTGGCGTCTTCTCACTGGGATTTTCACAGTGAGAAGCACGCAAGCGCCTCTAGCGGATGTCAATGAAACAACCACTGCAGGCTGGATTAACCCTAACATAGCAGTTTCTCTGAAACTATGTTTATTTAAAAAAAGGGTTAACCCTAGCTGGACCTGGCACCCAGACCACTTCATTAAGCTGAAGTGGTCAGGATGCCTATAGTGGTCCTTTAATGGATACAATTAAGCCCTGTATTCAAACTCCCACTACTCCTGGGCAGGAAAAATCACTATAGTACTCATTAACCCCAATACATAGAATAGAAACAAAAAAAGTTATTGGAGGTTTTTCTTAGTATCACTCAAATGACCGTTGCAGTGCAAGCTCACCTGCCACATCAAGGCAAAACTTCTTAGTTGAGTCCTACACTAACAATTAACCTTGAGCTAAATGGCAAAATCACTAATGAGACAGAAATGGATGTACTTATGAACCCCTACACACTTATTATGCATTCATAGGGTAAACATGGGGTGGGTTTCAGTATTGTAACATGGCTATGTAATACATTAACAAATACAAAACGAATCCCTCCATTCAAACTCGCCCAGAAGTAGTGGGAGATTGAGCGCAGAGCTTAATTTAGTACTCCTCTTTGTATTACACAGCCGTGTTACAGCTCTGCCACCCACTACATGTGTTCCCTATTAAGGGTTAAAATGTGGTCTCTGATTTTTATCTACTATTTTTCCCTCAGTGTTTGCTTGAAAAGGGAACCCTCAGTGGTTCCTAGATTGTCAGGGTTATTCACTAAAGTGAGAATTCAAAGTGAATATCAATTTTACGGTAAAAAAATAAATTATATATATATATATACATACATACACACAGTTGCAAGAAAAAGTATGTGAACCCTTTGGAATGATATGGATTTCTGCACAAATTGGTCATAAAATGTGATCTGATCATCATCTAAGTCACAACAATAGACAATCACAGTCTGCTTAAACTAATAACACACAAAGAATGAAATGTTGCCATGTTTTTATTGAACACACCATGTAAACATTCACAGTGCAGGTGGAAAAAGTATGTGAACCCTTGGATTTAATAACTGGTTGAACCTCCTTTGGCAGCAATAACTTCAACCAAACATTTCCTGTAGTTGCAGATCAGACGTGCACAACGGTCAGGAGTAATTCTTGACCATTCCTCTTTACAGAACTGTTTCAGTTCAGCAATATTCTTGGGATGTCTGGTGTGAATCACTTTCTTGAGGTCATGCCACAGCATCTCAATCGGGTTGAGGTCAGGACTCTGACTGGGCCACTTCAGAAGGTGTATTTTCTTCTGTTTAAGCCATTCTTTTGTTGATTTACTTCTATGCTTTGGGTCATTGTCCTGTTGCAACACCCATCTTCTGTTGAGCTTCAGCTGGTAGACATATGGCCTTAAGTTCTCCTGCAAAATGTCTTGATAAACTTGGGAATTCATTTTTCCTTCGATGATAGCAATCCGTCCAGCCCTTAACGCAGCAAAGCAGCCCCAAACCATGATGCCCCCACCACCATACTTCACAGTTGGGATGAGGTTTTGATATTGGTGTGCTGTGCCTTTTTTTCGCCACACATAGTGTTGTGTGTTTCTTCCAAACAACTCAACTTTGGTTTCATCTGTCCACAGAATATTTTGCCAGTACTGCTGTGGAACATCCAGGTGCTCTTGTGCAAACTGTAAACGTGCAGCAATGTTTTGTTTGGACAGCAGTGGCTTCCTCTGTGGTATCCTCCCATGAAATCCATTCTTGTTTAGTGTTTTACGTATTGTAGATTCGCTAACAGGGATGTTAGCATTTGCCAGTGACTTTTGTAAGTCTTTAGCTGACACTCTAGGATTCTTCTTCACCTCATTGAGCAGTCTGCTCTGTGCTCTTGCAGTCATCTTTACAGGACGGCCACTCCTAGGGAGAGTAGCAGCAGTGATGAACTTTCTCCATTTATAGACAATTTGTCTTACCATGGACTGATGAACAGCAAGGCTTTGGGAGATACTTTTATAACCCTTTCCAGCTTTATGCAAGTCAACAATTCTTAATCGTAGGTCTTCTGAGAGCTCTTTTGTGCGAGGCATCATTTCACATCAGGCAATGCTTCTTGTGAAAAGCAAACCCAGAACTGGTGTGTTTTTTGTAGGGCAGGGCAGCTGTAACCAACACTTCCAATCTCATCTCATTGATTGTACTCCAGTTGGCTGACATCTCACTCCAATTAGCTCTTGGAGAGGTCATTAGTCTAGGGGTTCACATACTTTTTTCACTTGCACTGTGAATGTTTACACAGTGTGTTCAATAAAAACATGGCAACATTTCATTCTTTGTGTGTTATTAGTTTAAGCAGACTGTGATTGTCTATTGTTGTGACTTAGATGATGATCAGATCACATTTTATGACCAATTTGTGCAGAAGTCCATATCATTCCAAAGGGTTCACATACTTTTTCTTGCAACTGTATATATATATATATATATATATATATATATATATATATATATATATATATATATATATATATATATATATATATATATATATATATATATATATAATTTTGAATGCTTACTTTAGTAAATAACACTAAGTCTTCCAAATTTAAAGAATTTCCTCCCTTGACAACCGGTTACGTTGGCTTTCACCTTTTGTGCTCAACGGGTGCTGACTATAGTAGCCTCATGTTTCACAGGTTGTTACTATACAAATTGGATTATTAAAAAAAAAAAAAAAAAAAAAATTTAAAGTGTTTATTCTGTACACACTGACTTTGTTTTCCTGTTAATGGAGGTCAGTTCAGTTTGTACCGGTCCATTGCTGTGGTGTTTATTAGTTATCTATGATGGCTTTAATTTTTGCCCAGATCACAGTATCTATTATCAGATTACCATCTATTTTCTGTTGGATATAATAGGGTTTCCATGTTATGTTTTAGCAGTACTTCCTCACTAAGGCTCTGATTTTAGTATTTTCCACATTATGAACATGTAAATGACTATTTAATGACATTTCAGGTCAGCTGTCTCTTCCTTTCTGGTTTTCACTCCCTAGTCACTTGACACTTGACACTTTGGTATTACCCAGTTGTATATGCTGCCATGGTTTTAAATAGGGACAGGATATTTATACTTAACATAATTGTCTTCCTCTGGTTATTATCCATGGCAGTATATGCTGACATGGTCAATAGTCGGGGATAGAAAATTAGTGTAAATATGAGAAAAATAAATCTATTTGTGTGGAACATCTACTGTTATAAACACTTACCCTATCGAAATATATGCGTATAGAGCCAACATTGGTAGCACCCACTGCAGTTAGTGAGAAGAATCCATGCTTCCAGCCTCCTGTGAGTACCACTCGCTCATTGTAACAGAACAGTTCTTTTATCCATCGAGCAACTCCTGGATTCACAGACATGAGTGATCCTAGAAAACAGGGAAGTTTAGTGTAACTATTCTTAAACCAAATATTACTATCTTCAGTTTATTACACGTAAAACATTAGCCTAGGTGATCTATAATGCTGGGTGGGTATTTTGTACTAACTACTGTGCAGTGGATATTTTGTACAAAGGATATTTAGGTCAAAACATTGGTTGTTATGGTATCCATGATCCTGTCAACAACTCCTTTCAGTCAATACTCTGTACAGACTTATTTTATTAATTTGTTATTTTTGATTTTTCTGCTACTGCTCATTTACAATGTAGAATGATTAACTCTGATCACTTTGAACTGCTCATTGAATACTGACTTTGTGTAATATTTATGTGAATTAATTAAGAGTTATTTTATTTTTGGTATCTGGTGTGCAGTGGGAATTTTGTAAATGTTTTTTTATTTGTGAGATTACATACTTAGCTCACACCTCCCTGTGGGTTTATGTGCCACATACCAGTGCGACCCAGGAGTGTCAATATTGTAAACCAAGCATGTCAAACTCAAAAGCTAGCAAGGGCCAAATAAACAAGGTTTATGTGGGCCACAAAAAAAAAAAAAAAACCTTAAAATTTCATAAAAACATAGGTTTTATTTTGAAAAGTATATGTATGTATATATATATTTTATATATATATATATATATATATATATATATAAAAATAAAAAACAGCGACCCCCTGTCCCATTTAAAAGTAAAATAAAACCGCCAACTAGCAGTGTCTGGAGTTCAGCCACTGGTATAACCCCAATGGCCCCATATGCACCTTTTAAAAAGCGGATCCTCCAGTTACTCCTTGAAACGCTCACACACTCACTGACATTCACACAGAATCACTCCGACACATACATACATACACTCAGACACACACACAGACAGCCATGGACACAAACACACATTTCCCCCCCCAACACATTTTTTTTATTTAAATCCACCCAGCCTCCCTACCTTTGGGAGAGCTGGGTGGATTTCTTACCTGGGGCTGCTGGGCAGACGGGCACACAGGCTGGGGATGGACAAGCGGCGAGGGAGTGCTCAGTGTAAGCTCTCCCTGCAAAGCTTGCGCACTGCAGAGTGATGTCGGGAGACGGAGTGACATCATATTCCGGTTCCCGGCATCACTACGTGGAGCTGCGCAAACATATTAGTTGTGGGCCGCGAGTTTGACATGCATGTTGTAAACCAACAAGTTGGGTGCCTTTATCCAGGGCAACAATGTATAATCTATACAAAGATACAGATTCTGGCTACATGATAGCAAGTTAGTCATCACTGTGAACATACCATGACAGCTGGTGAAACAGCATCCTTACTCATAATGAACCTGCTGCTGTCATGATGACCATTCAGCAGACTTTGCCATATGTTGAATATCACCTTTACTATTGCAAATGGCAGCAGTGCATACAGCCAAGAGTCTGTCATATAATTAGAGGCTTTAAATATTCAGGCAGATAACTCTGTATGGACGTCAAGATCCAGATAAAATGGTTGAATGTGGATCATGTCATGAAGACAATGAGTGGGCAAAGTGCTTTAACTACACACACATAAATTGTTTGTAAACTGCAGTGACTCATGTCCAATACTGCTCTATGAGATCTTACGCAATATATCGGTTTTCTTTCTACTTTTTGGAGGAAGTATTATAAAATTTATTTTTATTCCACAAGTCCATCTTCTATGTTTGATTTTTAATATGTGGAAGGTGAAGGTTTTTTTTTTTTTTTTGTACTAAATAGAATAAGACTATGCATTAATTAATAGGTATAATTTCATTTCCAGGAAATGTTCATAACTCATTGAAATTAAAAACTCATTGAAATTAAAAAATAAATAATAAAATGACAATAGTTTTGTTTTTTTTATATATATTTAAACAACAGAAGCCATCAAGTGAAGTTGAAGGCTCTAAATTAATTGTTGCGTTAAAACATTTAAATATCAAAAACATTGGGAAAAGGTTTCCCTAGTTCTGAAGTCATTAAAAGAAAGATGATTCTACATTTAGCATTTATAGGAAAGGGAAGGTATTGTAAAAAGCCTGAAGTAAAGCAGTAAACTGAAATCAGGAAGAATGTGTCCGTAATAAAATTAATGCAAGCAAGAAAATCTGTGGTTTTGGCATTGGAACTGGCAGAAAGGGATCAGTCACGGGGGGGAAGGGGAGAAATGACGATAAAGTCTAATATTCCTAGCAAATCCAAGGGGGGCTTACCTGGAAAATGCCTGCGATGATAAACATTCCAGTCTGTGGGTGAGTGAAAGCAGTGATAATCTCCAGGAGCCAGGTAAATGACACAGTGATATAGTTCATTTCCCTCCTGTGTGACCAGTTGGTCTTGGAATGAAGCTATAAAGAAACAAAAGGCGATCAGGGATATACCCCAGAGGTAAAGGTTAGTTTCCCTGCCCTATCTATGTTGGAGTAATTGAGAAATCTGACTCCGCATTACATGAGTTTTAGATCAAATGCAGCTACTACCCAGAGCCACATTTGTAATATGAGATTAAAGGAAACTTATAACGCTGGAGATCAAATGGGAATTTTTTTTTTTTTTTTTTATATAATATATATATATATATATATATATATATATATATATATATATATAAAAATCGGACAGCAGAATATAAAGTCTGCCTAGTACATTTTTCATGAAGTAATATCTGCATAAGGCATAGTGGTAGGTAAATCAAAGATAAAATGCTATATCTCAAAGATCCAAAGGGGGAAAAACATTAATTTAAAAAATGCTTAATGAATATATATTTTTAAATAGTTGATTTATTTACAATGTGCTTAGAAGAATATAAAATGTGCTTTGTTGATTTCCTTATATCTCATTCAATCTTAAGATTTGCCAGCATTATCTCACCACCTTACTGTCACACATGGTTTAAACATATCTGCATAGATTTTATTGGAAAGATTTATAAAAAAAACGAACAGGAAAATGGAGCAGTTCTAAAAATGGAGTAATCGCCATGGAAACAAATGAAAACAGCAGGGACATTTCAATTGCTTCCACAGTCACTGCTCTTAGAATGTTGGTCCACTTTTCTTTTAGCAACACTTTTACAAATATCCCCCACTGTTTCTGAGTCAGCCATCCATCTGACTCATTAACATCTATTTATGCCATCTGCACAGTAAAAAAAAAAAAAAAAAACATACAACGGGATTTAGCATTGGATTCCAACAGAAATTTTTCTCACTGAAATAAAAAAAGATACAATTCAAGACTTTGAATTGTAACAATCCAGTGTACATAAAAAAAGTGAAAAGATGTAACACGTTTTAACATCTTAATACTATACTGGACATCACATTTAGGTAGTAGAAACATTATAGAAAGACCCGGAAGATGGAAATAGCTATGCCTAGAATCCTAGAAGAACAGGATCCCTATCTTATTCCTCACTACCATGGGATGTATCTGGGGGGGAGGGGGAGATGATGAATGATATGCAATAAGCTTCCCACACAGCAGAGATATATCTACCCTTTGAGTTAAGATAACTTGCATGCCCACAGCCACTAATGAATGGAGAAGTGCCCAGAGTGAAAACGTTTAAACACAAGCAAACATTTCACTTGAAAGTAATTTACAACAATGCAGGCAACTTCAAAAAATCTGATTTAGGGGGGCGGACCTAGCGTCCAATGGGATCAGTTGCACACTCATAGCACCGATAAAAAAGGCCTCAAAAAGCCACACATGACCCGACAGCCGGTCGGAAAAAGCACCCAGGCTGATGGGGAGAAAAACCAAGAAGCCACGAATGGATCGGCCACGGTTCTCAGCAGATATACTAGACTTGCTGCAGAGACCGCATGGTGCGGCCAGTCCTAACATGGCAGTGGACTTCAACGACTTCACAGACAACTCGGAGGACATTCCTTTACAGTTACACAGTCCGGAAAACCTGGGATATAAAGGGTCTCCGGAGCCAACAACTGGCTCCTCTCACCAATCTCATCACAAACCCCCCGCTGAGATTTCCCAGGTGAGGGAGGACGGCAGGAGGTTCACCGTTCGCCTCACAGCAGAACAGACCTCCCAAACATACACCACACATGTTCTGTAACTGCAGAAGCAGACGCCCACACTATTTCAAATAGCAGCTACGGAAGACAAGAGGCGCTGGAAGCATGTAAAAATCAGGGGCCCCTCTTAAGATATAGCCCCAGCTGAACTGCCTCACTTTATTCACAGGCTATTTGCGGCCCTCCTACCGCCCAGGCAAGCCAAGGGAATACAACTTGATGGAATATTCCGCCTGCCTAAGACATCAATGCTCAAGTACTGCTACCAGTGACCTAATGGTGAAATTCCAGAGTGGACAGGAACAGGAAACTTTCATGAATGCCACGAAGGGAAAGAATCCAATCTGGCTCAAAGACATGGACTTGTCCTTCTACATTGATCTTCCACGTGCTACCCTGCTGTGGAGGAAATCCCTTCGTCCGATGACAGCAACACTCACAGCCAAGGGAGTGAAGTACTGATGGGGACCGACGCGCGTACTCCTCATTCCACATCAAGGCACTGAACACAAAGTGACAAACATCACTGAGATGGACAATGTCCTAGCGGCTTTGGGCCTCACAGCCCCATCTACCTCCACCACCTGGGACCCAGCTAAAGTAGTCCCAATCATCCCACCTGCACAAGGAACACCTGGGAAGGAGACCACCTGATGCACCTGCTTATATGTTATATTAAATTAAAAGTTGCATGCATGACAGCATCATGTTAGATGCCCCTCATACCGGCACATTGAACGCTCCACCTCAGGTCAAACATGGCCGAAACTGGGATTAGCCTAGGAATGCTAGCTCGCCCCCTCCCCCTCCCCAGCTCCCACCATGTAACCACAAATTAGGCAAACTGTCTCTGAGCTGTGTAATCTCCACATTACGACGAGCGTCAGCATACGTGCCAGGCTCACAGTGGAAGCTGCTAAGCCCTAACCATCACTTAAACGCTACCCACAATAGCTCCTAACGTGGCTTGAACGCCATACGTTCCATATATATATATGTTTTTACTCCTTTTAAAAAAATGCACAGCTCTCCCAAAAGAAGTGAAGAGTCTGAAGTTATGCAGTATATCTCCGCTGCTGAGGCCGTTCAGGCCTGTTTTACTTTTAATTTAAAAAGAGGCTGATTTCTCCAGGAGGCTCAGCCATTGTATACAACGACCCTGTATGTGACCTACGTATATCTGCTGAGACTATTTCTTATTGTTCTGTACGATTTACTTTAATGCCTCAAAATAAAACAAAGATTGACAAAAAAAATTTTTTTTGATTTATGTTAAATAGAATAAATCACAGTGCCACTTTATTCACAGCAGTCTACACCCACAGATCCCTTTCTGGGACAATAAGCAAATGACACAATGAGAAGCATGCGTGCCTAGCTGCTAGCACAGAACTCAAATTCATACACAGCAGAACAGGAAGAATATCACAGTTGGGGCATACTTCACACATCCCACATTTGTGAAGAGGTTTTTAGTAAATGACTAATGTAATGAATAGTGAATGTATAAGTAAACACAAAAATTATATTTTAAATGTAAAAGTGTTATTTAAAGATAAAGCAATCAGAGAGCTCTGGACAAAATCAATCACAAGTGCTTTATGGAATTCTCCAGATTACAGGGATGGACATATTTTCCAACATTACACAATTACTTTTCTTTTTTTTTTTTTAAATTTACTTTAATATGTTTTAAACCTTCCTCTGCAGGTTTGTCTGTTCCCTGCCATTGTAGCTGCTGTGAAATTAAACCCAGATGCACAATTATAGCTCCTTCCAGGTCGCCGCACAGTTCCTGTCCAGTCACCACCTCCTTCTTACCAAGATCCCTTTCCCAAGTCCTCCACTTACTACTTGTGCATAACAAAGAATCATGGGAGTTGTTCTAAAACATCTGAAGATCTACCATTTGGACACTCTTGACTCAGTGTCATATGCAGTGAATACTGAAGTTGCTGTTGCTATTATTATTTATAAACTATCCAGTATGCTGCCAACACATTACTTACGTTACAGGTTTTTTTTGCTTGTTTTCTTTTTATTTCACATTAGTTCATATTTTATGAAGTGTTTCTAAACGGTTGACCCTTGCTGCCATCATTCTGAATGATTTCAATGATCAAGTCATTATTACCCTTTCTGAAGTGGTGATTGTACCACTGAAGTTAACACCGACTTCAGCATGTTAAGCTCAATATTTTAATTGACATGCGCTGGTGTAGGCATTTTTACCAAGGAATAAATGGGGTTTACTCAATGAACTCTGGAATTGTAATTATACTAAGTGAACTGAACACTGAATGCAAACATTGCAGAATTGGAAAAAGATTTTCCAACTATGCTAGTCACAGCTTGGCTATGTAATGGGACATTTTGATATTCGGTTTTTAATCAACTTCAGTTCGGCGTTTAGTTAATAATTCTATATGTAGCTTTACTTAGACATTTTCTGACATCCACAAGAATACAATGGGAATACAAAGATGCAAGCACAGGCAAGTGAGGCAGCGAAGACGTGCATGGAGTCAACAGGCATGCCAGTGTCTATGACAGTCAACGTGCGGTTACAATAAACTAAGTGTATTTCTTTAAGGTTATTTTTTCTCCAATGTCATCTTACCTAACATATGTTAAAGTATGAAGGGTCCTCTTTGAAGAACAGACAGTCACTGACACTTGATGGCGAACCCTGCACAAAAGCTCAACTTACATTTGCTGATGGACAAGTTTTCGGTCCAGGTCTGAGGGCCCAGGAAGGATTCCAGTGAATAGGTTACTCCTTTTACTTGCTCCACCTCACAGTTTTTCACTCTACCAAAGTGCAGGATCTTTCCATCAGATGGACTAATCTGTGGGATAAAATTAGTTAATGTATTTCTGGAGTTCACACAGCACTGGTAACCAAGAGTTAAACCATGACATAATCATACAATATTATCATTCTAACCATAGAATACTAAAGGATGTAACTGAAGTGATCCTGATCACTTACAGCGATCACTAGTGCTACATATTCATTACACCATTGGGACTGGGATAGTTTGCTTTCATTTAGGTAGTACCTGCATCATACAACCTCAATATATTTATATATCACCAGATATTTATCCAAAAAGAACATTATGGATTATTATCAGCATTATTACGTAGATATGCAGGTGTAGAGGGACACAGTAGAGGGTTAAACAATGTGAACGGTGGGTTTTATGACGATATAACAATAACAAATTCGTGGGGCTCTAGAAAGTGCCTTAAACCACTAATGGTATGGTGTATTAGATGTACTTCTGAAAAAAATGCTGCAAGCCACCTAGCACTTATCCGGCTAAGAGTGATATATTTTATTTTTATTTTTAATCCTGAGGTGGGGAGGGGGCGTGAGCACTGGGTAGCACTAATGAGCCAGAGGGTAAAGAGAAACATGCACAAAGAAAAGAACATAAAGAAAATTAACAACTAAATTAACAAATACACATCAGGGCCTTATGATATTAGCACTGGTGAATGAACAGGTGTTCATTGAAAGGACTCATCAAGCACAGATAAGCATCAAGTCATAACAGTCACGTATGGGGGTAACTCTCAGTAGATAGATCCCAGTGATTGGAAAAAGCCTCTGAGACACCTGGCAGAGTGACTCGGAGGACCTATTTTATATATACTTAACAAGATCAGAAAAGAAACACAAAGGGACACTGTAGGCACTATGTCCATTTCAACTCTTTAAATTGGCAAGTTCCCTTCATTCAGTGTTGAACCATTTTCTAGAAGTTAAACACTTTCAATTCAATGCCCTGGATTAAGGCTTTAACGAGCAATACATATAAAAAAATTTTTTAGAAACTGAATCAGTATTATTAAATTTAGATGAAATCAATTTCCATATCCTAAACCAGAAGGCTAATGTCGTTGAGCATGTACAGCAGTAAATTCCCCAAACATACCACGCTATGGGAGTCGCAAACAGGCCGTGCCTGAGGCTTCAGTTTCCTGCGGAAGAACTCGCTGAGATTGCGGTACTGGTGCAGATCTTCCACTGCAGCCTCCTTCATGTTCACCCCAAATGTCCAGATATACAAGCTGTACACCGGCTTCCTGAGCCATGTTGGAAGTTCAACCTGATTCAAGCGTCCCCATGCCCGTGAGAGCAGTCGTGTTGGCACAGATTTGTAAAGGGCAACCTGTACGCAAAACAAGGTTCGTGTAACGGAAATACAGCTATGCATTTTAAAACATAACAACATTGCAGATTTCCAGGTTTTTGTTTTGTTTTTTTTACATTTCAGTAAACGTTTCTACTCTTGAAACTGAAAAAGCTCTTGTCTAGTTGACATTATATGTATGTAATGGAAAGATATGTCATGACAATAGTTTGCGTTCTTGCTGCTCCTGCTGTAAAAATATCTTATTCACTTACAAAAATTAATTCAGAGCTCTCCACCTTGAACAAAGATCATTCACCAACCATCAGCTTTATGCAACTAAGAAAATGTATATCTAAATCAGTAATCCAGACAGAGAACACTTATTCATGTACCTTGTGTCAGGAGGGATCAGCCATATGTCACTAATAAGCCAAATAGCATGGGGTTGGTACAGAGACGAACAGCCAGGCATATTGGTTCAAGGATGCCCATGTGGGACTTTTGTGATAAGTAAATGCCACAGATTCTAGCTGTATGGGTTTAGGCAAGTGTCATACTTTTTAACAACTCCTGAGCAGGAATCCATCATAATAATTAAAATTATTAAGTCATTTTGTATATTTTTAATTTAAGTTTCATACAATACTTGAATTATTATAATTACTATTATTATTATTAGTATTTTTATAGCGCCAACATATTACACAGTACATTACTATTATAGAATGGGGATTTTTGATAACATGTAATTGACATACAAAATATTAACAAGTGGGGAAGAAGGCCCTGCACAAACAAGCTTACAATCTGTAAAAAAAATTATTTTTATTTTTTTAATTCATGCAATTAGCAAGGCCTAGAGAGAAAAGATCATGGAATTTAGGAAAATATACATATTTTTATATATATATATCCTACACAAAAACAAAAAACACAAAAAAGGAAACGACAAAACTCAGGGTATTATATAAACTCATCACCGATTTAAATTATTCTACTAAAACTAGCTCAGATCTCTTGGGAGAATCAGCAAGAAGTTCCATTTTCATTTCATTGTGTCTTTTGACAACTTTGGGCTCTGGTAACTTCAATATCAAATTTATGGTGCTTTTCTGATTTCTCCATTATAAAACGAATCAATAACTAACGCAAAGAGAGATTTTCCTAAATTTAGATTCTTTGCATGTCGCAATAAAAGGTATTATTATTTTTAGCATTTATATAGCACCAACGTATTCCACAGAGCTAGAAAGAAAGGGGATATGTAGAGACGAGGAAGGCATCGTTAAAATGAGCTTCTTACAATCTAGAAGAATTTGAGGCAGGCAGATATATTACATTGTTAGGTGTCTTGCCCAGTTCGAAGGCATTGATGCTATCACTGCTCTAACCAGCTCATATATTATTAATAGGGTACTACTGTATAAAAAACATGAAATCACCCCTATAAACTGATAAACATACTACTTGGTTACATGTCTATGTTCCATTCAACCTTATGTAACTTAGGGCAGGAGGTGACATTTAGGAACAAGTGGGTAAAGGAACATTCCACGCACACTTTATATTTGTGACACTTTATAAAAGGGACTATTTCAATTACTCTCAGGAAGAATTGCAGCTTTTTTTCCCGTCTGCCAAAAGAGCTCTTGCCTTAGGCCCTATTCAATAAGCTGTAATACAAGACTTTTTTTCATATACCCAGAAAGAAAACACACAGAAACTGGCACCTTCTTACATTCAGGAGGTGAAACGTTTGGCTCTAGCGATTCTACCTCCCAGCTCCCTTCGGCTCTACACTGCAGAAGATATGAAAGCAGCTGGACACTCCTACCCTCGTAAGAAAAACCTAAAGAACCAAGACAACTTCAACTTAATGAAGCAGTTTTGGTGTATAGATTATGCCCCATGCAGTCTCATTGCTCAATTCTCTGCTATTTAGGAGTTAAATTAGTTTATGCACCTTAGCCACACCTCCTTACAAGTGCATTACACAGCCTCCATACACACCTCCTGTAATGAAAGATCCAATTTTTAAACTAACTGTACTGCACAGTGTGTTGATTGGCAGATCCCAGCGCCTGCAGTCCCCATTGCTCTTCTATGAGGAGCATTAGACTGAACTATCACCGCCAGGGTGACATCTAGTCAGGAGGAGCAGGCGGCAGCTCCAAGGGAGACTGGGTGCCGGAGTAATGGTAATTAAACTCATTTTTTTTTTTTTACACTTCCCAAGTCAAACTAGGGGTAAGGGAAGTCCACAGCATTAGGAATACAGGTTTGTATTGTTATAACAATATTGTGTTCCTTTAAGCAGTGCGAAATTTATAAATAATTGGTCAGTAATTATATTGGTCCTTAAAAGTATGTAAACTATATTAAAAAAAAAAATTTAAAAAAGGAAATACATTTAAAATTTTTTTTAAAAAAGCAGACTCCACGCTGTCAGGATCATGGAAATGATAGAACAAACTATAACTAATAATTACATTAGGGAAATGCACACTGCTAATGTAATTCCTGGAACAATAGCTCCCCCCTCCCACGCCTATGGGGTTTTGGGTGACGCAGGATGTCCAGCGACAGACAGCCAAAAGTGTGTTAGACAGCCACTAGAGATGTAGTTAACCCTCCAAGCAAATTAATGCAGTTTCTTAAAAAGTGCAATAATTAGTTTTGCACCCAGGTCACTTCAATGAGCTAAAGTGCCTATAGTGTCCCTTTAAAAAGCATTATAAATTGAATTTTAAGAAACAAAATTATATTCCAAACATAAACAAAAAACTAAAAATCCATTATAATTTCATCTGAAGAACACGATTGTAAAATATATCCAGATTATAGTAAAAATAAAAAGGAAACGTATTTTGGTAACCACAAGCCACCAAAATATATTCCAATTACATATTAGGGCACAAAAAAATGATAAAAAGTGAAAATGTCTTAGATATAGTGCACTATATAAGACTATATCAACAAAAACTATAAACATGATTATTTCACACTAACATTAAATGCCACATCTTTTAAAACCATGTTATTCATTAATCAAATACCTTCAAGTCTTAAAGGCTTCACATTTTGAAGAACCAGTATGGTTTTATTAAAGGGACACTATAGTCAGCAGAACAACTTAAGCTTAATGAAGCGTTTTTTGTGTATAGATCATGCCCCTGCAGTCTCACTGCTAAATTATCTGCCATTTAGGAGTTATAAACACTTCCTGTAAAGAGTAATCTAATTTTTTACATTTCCCTTATTGCAAATTCTGTTTAATTTAGAATTTCATATCTCCTGCTTTGTTAATAGCTTGCTAGACTCTGTATGAGCCTCCTGTGTGTAATTAAAGTTCAATTTACAGAACAGGAGCTAAACATTTTAAAGTAAGATTGACTGAAAATGAAACCATTTTGTTTTCATGCAGGCTGTGTCAATCACAGCCAGAGGAGGTGTGGCTAGGGCTGCACATATAGAAACAAATGTGATTTAACTGCTAAATAGCAGTGAATTGAGCAGTGAGACTGCATAGGCATGATCAATACACTAAAACTGCTTCATTAAGCTAAAGTTGTTTTGGTGACTAAAGAGTCCCTTTAACCCTAATTTATAAATGTTTTACTTTTACACAGTCTTCCTACCTTGAGAAAGACTGAAATGTGCTTATGTACCTATTAAGTGTGAACAGGACAAGAGGACTCGTATAAGCGGACATACCAGTGGCTCAAAGTAATGGAATTTATTCAGATGAGGCAATCTCTGCCCAGTTCACTGAAGTGAATGCAGTAACCTGCTAAGGGCTAGCAACAACTCGGTATGCCTATTTGTCAGGTTTGTGTGATTGTCATCACTTGTGTTTCTATTCTGAGTGTTTGCTATATAATACATTTGTCAGGGTCACACAATACATGATATTGCTTGAGGGCCCAACGCTACACAATACTGTAGGTAGACAGAAGACTGGTTATTGTACTATTGGCTATTGTGCTGTGACTTTGCAATATGGTGCTAGAGGACACACACAAATAAGAATATTGACTCAATGCTGTTTTGCAAGTGACTCTGTTAAGCCGTATATTATAAACACTTAGACATGCTAAAACTGCATGGATAGGATCACGTAAGCGGTGCTTTGCTATTTTTTTTGTTTTATGCTACACGGAGTATTTATATTGTCAACTCTAGATCACATTTGTCAGTATTGATCTAGGATAAACTATTTAGTGTTAGCATCCTTAATATACGATTTTAGCATTTAATTGCATATGAGGAAATATTGATATGTGTAAAATTCTTATTTCATTATCTGTTGTACATATCTGTCACTTATACAAGGTGAAACCACTGAACATAAATTCTAGAAGCTAGGTTTATAATGCCAGCAGAAAATACTAGGAAGAAAAGGTGCAGATATCAAGACAGGAGAGCCCTTTGCACAAAAAAAAAAAAACCAACCTAGACTAAGATAAATGTAAGCTAATATGGAGTTCAGAGGATTCCTCATTATAGTAGCATTGCTATTTAATTATTGTGTGCCTAAAATACTACACAAATACTAGCCCTCAATGTGCATTATTGGATTCATTATATTTGGCAGACTAGATTCAGAAACCGATGTAAGCAGCCTGATTAAATGCATTGACTGCCGCGGTATAAGCATGTGCATATGAGGAGTACTGCTAGTATCTGTGACAAAAGCTTAAATATAAATATAGAACAGGCCAACTATTCATGTACAAAAGTGTTCAACAAAAAGAATGCTAGCTTGAAGTGAATCAAGCTTTATTATGTGGTGTAAAAATTTGCATTTATGTTTGTTGGACATAAACATGGACTGAACTGGGAGTAGATCAGCTATTAAGATCCCTCACTGCTTCTGTACATAGAAAAATCTCCAGTTTGTTATAATACCAGTAATGACAGGGACAGTGTGCATGCTTCACAGTGAAGCATTGAGACACACAGGATAGGATGAAAGAATATGTAGTAGCAAGTAAGTACATGCCACAATACCTAAAGATCGGGTGTTTCATATTGAATAATACAATAGTTTTGACCTTTATTACCTCGATGAGGAAAAACATACATAAATACAGTTATACCTAGTGACATGATGGATTCTTACAAAATTCTCATAGAGTTGTGTTTTTAGTCTGTATGGGATTCTTCTCTGGTTTGATTTACTACAAAACCATAACAGGAACATTATGTCTCTGGGTACATCCATTTAGACAGGTATCACACACAATGCAGTCTCTAATCACGATTTAGCTCGGCCACAGTGTTTAGAATATCAGCTCCTTGAGTCAGACAATGTTTCCACGGTTTTGTATCTTATGCCAGGCTAGACATTGCCAGCACAAAGTCAGCATTCTATACAACCCACACAATAAAAAGGCATGGGGTAAGCTCTGAGAGGAAAAAAAATAAAAAGAAATTGCAATCCTGTTCCAGCATCTCTCCCACACAATGTACAGTTTTCTGATTTGAACATCCATACAATGCCATGAACAATAACTTTCACCGACTGAATGAAGGGTCCAAAATAAAGCTATGACAAACCAAACCATTACCCAGAGTTCCTGTTTCCACGCAGTACCCAATCAATCATATGTTCTACCTTGAAACAAGATGGATACCTTGCAGGAAACTTACCCTGCTGGTTGGGCGCCATCCCACTCTGGCCAAGGGCTTAAGTGCAGCGAAAGGTAGAAGGTAATAAAGAACTGTCAGAGGCCAGGACCGCAGTTTCAGGGCGGACCTAGACATGCAGGTCAGCTGCCCCAACCTCCTTCTGAGTGCCAGCTGGGGGAACTGCAACCTGTGGGATCAGACACAAGTGTCAAAAGATCCTGCAAGGGCAAAGTACAAATGACGACAGCAGGACAGTAGATTGGCAAAGTATAAATTACGACACAAGGACAGTAGTCCAGGCATCAAATCGACGAGACAGAACCAGAGGTAATATGCAGAATATTAATTAAGAGATTTAAAATGAGACAGTAGCTAGCACATTAGGCCTCTGTCGCTGAGAGCATACACTGCACAAGATACAGGACAATGTGTCAAGCTTTGGACATATAGAGCGATTATTCAATAAGAGAACATACATTGGAGCTAAATTAGAAAATACTAAAGCTTGCTTTCAGTGTTCTGGCAACTGTAATTAGCATAAGAAACCCCCTCTACAGCTTCTTCCCAGCCATAAAAAGAACAAGGGGCATCGTTTCCAAGGATACATGTCTCTTGTAGAGAGTCACACATTCCTTTGTGTCTCAAGACTAGCTTCAGTACAATAACCTTCTGTGAGAAATGCATAGATGCGTGCAAACTAGGACATACAAGATGATTAAAGAGACACTTTAGAAAGTAAAATGTTACTCTCACATCTTTATATCATTACCCAGGATTAAGTGAGGCCTATATCCTTGTGCTTAAGAACTGCTGAGTAAAGACTATCCACATGTAAACACACAGAGTGCGGTCTCTGTGGACTGCATGTATCAATTGTATGTCAAAATGAAGATGGACAGCAGCAAGAATAACAAAATCAATATACCAAGTCTCTGACCACCACTGAAACACAATATTTACTTATGCAATTATAAAAACAGAAAAATATTCATAGCAGTGACACATAAAATAGAATAAACTGCCTCCACAAAGATTACTCACCAGAGTGCAGTTATCCTCAGCCTGAGCTCCTAACCATTACCGGGAAACCCAGAAGATGAGGTACCCAGTAGCCAGGGCCGCCTCTCTCTCCCCCCCTTCACTGCAGACAGCCGACGACCAATCCCTGCCTAGCTCCCTCTTTTCCCATCCATTGCTTCCAGAGACACATTCCTCTTAGTCCCGGTATCTCATTCATACAGCACATGCTGAGCCAGCTGCTTTTCTGCCCGACTGCCTGCACAGTAACATCATTCTCCCCCCTCTCTTGCTCACACCACTGAATACATAAGGAGCTTTCACTTAATTAGGCCAAACAAAAGCTTAGCCATTGCTCTCTCTGTCCTTCCCCAGGCTCAGCTGACCTGATGTCTGAAGGTACCTGAAGCGCGACCGTCTGTTGGAAGTGCTACTGTCGGATTTTGCTGGTTCTGATGGATCGGTGTGTTCCTCCCTGCCCCAGCTGCTGGTGCTGGCTGCTCGTGTTCTGCGAACATGAAGTTTCACTTTGTGCAGGTTACACCGGGAGGGAGGAGGGTTGGTTACAGGTTTCCGGCATCTCACCATCTCCTCAGGTGTAGGTCCAGAGCGAGCTGGCCTCTCTGTGAATGACACATCATCAGGTCTAAGGCCGCCAGTTTCTGCTGCCTTCTACACTGATGGAGGATGTGACGACAGACTAATTCTCTGCTGTGTGATAAGAAGGTTGCTCAGTCTTGCTCCTCCCTCTACACAGCAACTGGGACATACATCTCTTACCTATGCCAACTGTAACAGCATCGAAGCATACTGCCACATATTGTTAAATCCATACACCAATACATACACACACATATATATATTAATTACACACACAAAAATCTGGCATCGTGCCTCAAAAAAAAAAAAAAAGTATAATATCAGTATTCGTATAAGTACAGACACACATTGTTCACGTTAAAGTTTTCATAAAGCTACAATCTTTAGCTCTTGAAATTTCTTTGAATCAACAAAAATTCATACAGGAGACAAAGAGGGACTACAATGTCTGACGTCACAGCCAAACTTTGGCAATAGGCAGAGTTTCTGCTGCTACTTCTTATCAGCTGTTGGTCATGACAGCTGATGGAAACAAGCATTAACTCACGTGGTACACAAAAGGTGCCAATGGCACCTTATTGCTTGAAAATATTTAGGAAACATCTTGCAGTCTTAATGGATCTTCCATAGACTGTTATACTCTTTGTGCTTGGCAGACAAATCTGGGCAGGTTAAGTCACCGGTAGAATAGTGCTGAAAAGATGGCAGCGCTGTTGAGGTAGAACATAATATTCATAGACTGTAAGCTAATTTCTTCACCTCTTATATCTGTTAATATTTTGTATGTTAACTACTTGTCAGTTATATTCATTCTATGATTGTATGGCACTGCAAAATATATTGGCGCTATAAAAATAATAATAATTAATATAAGTCTCGAACTACTCCATTCCCATTTCCCACTAAAATGGACATGCAAAGACTCCACAAGAACGCAAACTACAAAGACTTCACGTGTGAAGTATCTTTTATCATTTCAAATATATTGTGAATAATATGAACATTTTTAATGCATCGCCTATAATACAAAATTAAAAAAAAAAAAAAGTTTCAACTCCACCACTCACTGTATCTTTAAAATTGATCATCAAACTAAATCAATGTACATAACTTGGGTTCCCAACAAAAAGGTTAAAGGAACACTATAGTCACCAGAACAACTACAGCTTATTGAATTTGTTCTGGTGAGTAGAATCATTAAAGGACCACTATAGGCACCCAGACCACTTCAGCTTAATGAGGTGGTCTGGGTGCCTGGTCCAGCTAGGTTTAACCCTTTTTTCTCATTGACAGCCGCTAGAGGGCTTCCGCGCTTCTCACTGTGATTTTCACAGTGAGAAGACGCCAGCGTCCATAGGAAAGCATTGAGAATGCTTTCCTATGGACTGGCTGAATGCGCGCGCAGCTCTTGCCGCGCATGCGCATTCAGCAGAAGAGGAGGAGAGCTCTCCGCCTGGCGCTGGAGAAAGAGGTAAGTTTAACTCCTTCCTCACCCCAGAGCCTCAGGGCACTATAGTGGTCCTTTAACTTCAGGCTTTTTGCTGTAAACACTTTTCAGAGAAAATGCAGTGTTAACATTACAGCCTAGTGATAGCTTCACTGCACACGCCTCAGATGGCTACTAGAGAAGCTTCCTCAGGCAGTGCTGCACACTGTGCAGCACAGCCATTCAGTGTCTCCACCTTCTGCATGGAGACATTGAACATTCCTCATAGAGATGCATTGATTCAATGCATCTCTATGAGAAGATGCTGATTGGCCAGGGCTGTGTTTGAATCATGCTGGCTCTGCCTCCTTGACAGTCTCAGCCAATCCTATGTGGAAGCATTGTGATTGGCTCAGACCACTACTTCTGATTATGTCAGCCAAACAGGCAGATCAGGGGCAGAGGCAGCAGCTGCAGACTTGAATACAAGATTTTACTATATTTGGGAAGCAAAGGGGGGGTGCATGGTGGTTTTAACACTATAGGGTCAGGAATACATGCTTGAGTTCCTAACCCGATGGTGTTTATTTAAGAATCTCTGCACTAGAAAAATAGCCAGACAAGGCCAACATTTCTCTGTATGGCCAAGAATCATTAAGTGAAATCATAATTAGCTTGTCACACCAACATCCAATCACTGAAATAATAAAAAACACACTTGGTAGACACAAGGCATCCAAACTCTAATTTCTGACACTCAATGAAAGCACAGCTTGTCTTATTAAAATAGGAACAACTTCTACCACAAATGTTCGTAGCAGTTCTGATTTATTCTTAGAATGTGATTTTATATGTTCATAAAGCATTTCTGATATGCAATGTTTGATACAATACTCTATACATGTTTACTTTCAGGGGTGCTGTAGAGGTTATGGTGCTAGGAGCGCCCTGCTGCCTTCCCAGAGGACATCAACTAATTCTTAATAACGGTTTCAAGACTAACCAGGGTTTAACTATTTACTCTAGGAAGACACCAGGGCTTTCCTTGTACCATAACCACTACAAATGGCTGTACTGATTATCGAACTTGGGAGTGTTCTTTCAAAATACAAGAAGGTTGCTATGTGGAAAGGAGGGGGACTGTCACATTAAGATAGGAATCTTTACCACCTCCTGAGAAAACACATAAAACTATATTGGCACTGAATCATGATGGCCATGTTTTCAAAGACATTTGGAGCAATACTAGGTAAAACAGTCTAATGTGGAACAATTAGCAGCTACATTTGTTTTATTATTTTTAAGGACTGCTCCACAGTTAGCATTTTCCTGATATTGCATAATATTGACTTGATAAATAATGCCCTTAACGCATTGCTAAAATACTTTGCTCAAGTTCTCGAACAGCTTTAATGAGACAAAGTAATTTAAAGTCCTTCAATATATTAGAATTATCTTAACAAAATACCACGATTGGTTTTCACTAATGCAAGACTGAGTGAGCTCACAAAACACTGTGCAAATAGCATTTCTGAGAACAGATCATTTGTTGGATATACAGAAAATAGAACATGCTTTTCCTACCTCCCAGGTATAAGCCACTTTCCGTTGCACTTCTAAGCCCAATTTCTCCTGGTGATGGTCTTTATAGTTCTCATACTGTCTGAAAGCTGCATATCCCCCACCTGTTCCCAGTAGGACATAGAGCGGTCGAATTTTGGCAACCATGCTGGTAGAGGCGGCATGTAATTTCCTCCTTCCATCTGTATAAAATAATTGAAAATACATCATAGCTGCGGGTAGCAAATAATTAAAGCTAACAGCATCAATAGATAGATTTGTTACAAAAATGTGTCAATATTTTGACTAGAAAAAAGTAAATAAAAATACATTAAATTGCAATTATTACACAAGCCTCCAACTATCTATTAGAATGGCAACGCATAACTACACTCGCTTTGTATTTTTATGTACATGGGTACAGGGGAAAGGCACATAATTTATTCTCTGGCTACAACTAAATAACCCCCCTTAACATTGTTAAAGGTACACTCTAAACATAAAACAAATGGCATAAGTTGGTAAGAGCTCTTTAGATAATGGTCCTTAGATATCTGGTCAGACCGAAAGCTGGGCCAAATGTTAAACTGTTCACGAAGGATTTGACAGTTTATCATCAGACTGTGCCAGGGGACTTCTAACACCAGAACCACGAGAGCGAGCCAATACTTAGAGTATTCTTTTAACTTCCGTGATACAAGTTTGTATTCCTAACACTATAATGTTCCTTTAAAATGCACTTTGAACTCCCATCAGTTTAAAGTGAATAACCCTGTATATTCTATACATTGTTATGTATTAAAAAAAAAAAATATGAAACAAAATTAAGTCTCAAATTAAGAAGTCAGAAATAAAGTTACAACATACAGATAAATTAAATTAACACAGCAGACAAAAAAACACTACAGAAGACAAAACTACAGCTTTACAGAGCTTAACTCAGGAGAGCTAACAGATGCTACTAGCGTACATTTCAGAGCCGGAGGTCCAGGGCACTCTTGGTACCAAAACCACTGTATTGGCTATGGTGCTTTGAGTGCTCATTTAACATACATACCTTATGCTGTTCAAGGAAATGATCATATTATTCTTTATAAAAATATTTACAGCAACCAATGCATTTGTTCTAGCAATTAAATTTTAACATTACCCAACTATTTTTGTCCAATGACCAGCTCACACATCCACTATTTAACTCACATGGTTATTCAGTAACGTGAGAATTCAAAATCAATTTCACATTAAAGTTCAAAAGAGCAGAACTAGAAAACAATATCCAGCTATGTTTCCAGTTCAGGGCCATTCCTTGTCAAATCAACTAGGTCATCCAGCTCACATTCTTTGAATAAATTGTTTTTGTTTATTTAATTTGGCATAATGAAAGGGCCACCTCAAGTATGAGGCTATGCAAAATTGCAGGTCCATGTCTTCAGTACTTACAAAGTTCCAAATTTGCACTTCTGTCATATTTGAAAAAGTATTGAAGAGCTCTTTCAGATTATTAGATTATGTATTATTTCTGTTTTTAAACTGTTAGATTTCGTGAGCTAAGTCCCAGAGTGCAAGGCTAGCTCATTTGCTAAAAGCGTCAACTAACCACTCATAGCTAATAAACTAAGTCCTCCACCACTGGGCTGAGCTCAGTGAAGAGAGTTTCTGGTCGGGTGTAACTGACCAGTAGTGGAGACGGCTAGTGGTGCTCTGTAGTAGTTATGGTGCTAGGAGAGTTCCTTTAACAGCTTTTGATATATATTTATTTTTACCATTCCAACTCTTAAATACACACACTTCTTCTTCTAGTCATATTCCAAGCTATGCACAAGAAACATATGATCAGACGATCTATCAAATGTTTGTATTAGATTGAGTGCACCTGTCCAGCACTTATGTTAAATGGACACGTCCAACAATAGTGATGGCCAATAGTTAGAACTACAACTCATACAATGCTTAACCATTCTAAAGGCAAATGTACAACATCTGGATTTACCTTTTGGCCATCAATGACCTGAAAATAAAAAGAAAATCTATCATATAACCAGCCTCGTGTAAATACTTACTTGTATGCAGAACTCTCACGGGAACACTACTCAAGGGGAAATTTCCACACACAAAGAGCCTAAAAGTAAAACAGAAAATATTACTAATTACTCCTTCAAATGTAGGCAGTGTTAGAGAAAGACATCAAAAGCAACCATCCGGTGTTCTGTCAGAGCATTGCCACTGGTTACTATGGCAACACTCAGATACTGCACTCTGCCGGGCTTTGGGAAAAGAGCCTGGGCAGCCAGCAGAGTGCAAACAGGACTCACTGGACCACCAAGGAATGCATCTCCCTGGAAGAAAAAAAAAAAAGAGTCAGGGGAAAAAATAAAAACATAAAATAGCACGTGAATAAATAAAACATGCTCCTTTCACTGCCCAGATGTCACACCACAAAGGCAGACATACACTCACAAATTATTATACGTTTTAAAGGGACACTATGCGCACCCAGACCACTTCAGCTCATTGAAGTGGTCTTGGTGCAAACTCCCATCACTCTTGATCCTGAGCATGTAATTATTGCAGTTTTTATAAACTGCAATAATTACCTCTAAAGGGTTAACTCCTCCTTTAGTGGCTGTCTACCAGACATCCACTGGAGGGACTTCCGGAATTGAAACGGGCCTTTGGTCCTTTATCTGACGCTGGACGTCCTCACGCTCTGCATGAGGACTTCCAGCATCAGATTTTTCCCAATAGGACAGCATTAAATAATGCTTTCCTATGGGGATATCCTAATGCCGATGTTCCTCAGCGCTGACTCAGCTCTGCCCACACTCCGCCCCCGCAGATGTCCACCGGCTGAGGAGACCTAATGTGCATGTGTGCCAAAGGCTGCGCTCGCATTAGGATATCCCCATAGGAAAGCATTATTTAATGCTGTCCTATAGGGAAAAATCTGATGCTGGAAGTCCTCATGCAGAGCGTGAGGACGTCCAGCGTCAGATAAAGGACCAAGGGTCCGTTTCAATTCCGGAAGTCCCTCCAGTGGATGTCTGGTAGACAGCCACTAAAGGAGGAGTTAATCCTCAGAGGTAATTATTGCAGTTTATAAAAACTGCAATAATTACATGCTCAGGGTCAAGAGTGATGGGAGTTTGCACCAAGACCACTTCAATGAGCTGAAGTGGTCTGGGTGCCTATAGTGTCCCTTTAAAACATATAATAATGTGTGAGTGAGTGTATGTCTGCCTTAGTGGTGTGTGATAGAGGCTGTAACATCTGGGGAGTGAAAGGAGCATGTTTTATTTATTCACGTGATATTTTATGTTTTTATTTTTTCCCCTGACTCTTTTTTTCTTCCAGGGTGGATGCATTCCTCTGTGGTCCAGTGAGTCCTGTCTGCACTCTTTCCCCAGAGCCCGCAGTAACCAGCGGCAACGCTCTGACCGCACACCGGGCTGACACGGAGGATACAGACAGCACACTGGGCTCCCAGTCTCTGAGCATCACAGAATTTATAATATGGGGCCCGGGGCCCTTACCGGTGTCATGCCCGTACCCCCGCCCCGCAATCCTATGTATTAACGCTCTCTTACCGGCTTAATTGACGCTGAGCACAGCCTGTCCTCCACATGAGCGCCGCCATCTTACTTCCGGTTTCCTCCCAGTCGGCACGTGTGACGCAGAGGACGTGTTCTGACCGTCCAGGTCCCTGACTCACCTTGTGTTTGGGCTGGCAGACCTGTCTTGCAGGGTGGATGTGCAGCCACCTAGTTACCCATTATGTGGGTTTATTTACTAAACAGAGGCGGCTTTAGTATGTAATAATTGTGAATTGTTTGAAATCCAAAGTGAATTTTTTACATTTTAAGCCAAAAAGGTTGAACTAAAAATAGCACACATTACAAGATAATGCACTAGTTTATAAATTTGAATTGACTCCTAGATATCCATCGTATGGATTATTCATGGCAGGGGAACCTGTCAAGACTGCCCATAATCTTAAATGCTGTGGGTGAAGGAACACTCCAAGCACCATAACCACTAAATATCTAATGTTTATTGTGCCCCTATTTGTAAACCTGCAGTGCTCAATTCATCTGTGCCTCCAAACCTTGCTATTTTGGCCTTAAAAGGGACAGTCATCAATAAAAAAAAATAGTTAGAACATATTCCCCGAATGAATTTAATTATAATTTTATGTTGGGGATATACCTTAAACAGCTTACAAATGCTACAGATCTTTTGCCTGCAGCCTTTGCAAAGCATTCCTTCTTCCCCAGCCTAGACTTTCTGTGGTTGTTCAATACCAAGGCCAATGCTCTGTTATGCACATCAGACACAACAACAATACGGAGCTCTTAGTAAAGAGGGATATTTGGAAAGAAAAGAGGAACATAGAGATTTGGGCCCCAAATAGGACTGTTCTTCCTAAATAGGGACACTTGGGAGGTATGTTAGTGTTGTACACTGCCCTCGCACCACAGAAACATCTGAGCCTTGGGACAGTGCAACATGCAGACAGCCTAACAAAAACTGTCAGGTGGTAATCCTGTGACCAGCAGTATCTAGAATTTATAAGCCAGAAAAAATAAATGAATCACATAAGAAAACTCACCTTGATTAAATTATATTATCCGGTTGCTGGGTAATGCTTTATATTTACCACAACATATGGAAATAATAACTGTCTGGGAAAAATATGATCAAGGAAGCAACTCTTTTCTCTCTATACATACAATCTATACATACATGCCTGTGTTTATATGCTCATTCAGTTTCAGGATATATCAGAGGGGGGGACAAATAATTCACTTTAACATAAGTACATTTGTTTCATATCCTTATCATCTGTGTAAACATTAAATACTAGCTAGGCATACTACAACAGTTTCAGCTAATTCTTTATTAAAAACTAACACAACAGAAAGGATTTCACTCCAAATTTAGAAGAACTTTATTTTCGTGATCAGGCCCAATCGATGCAATATAAAATAAGTTCAAGCTAGCTGTACACTTTTGTTATAGATGATTTTTCATCCATCAGTTGACACTCCAGGTACTGTAACCACTTCACATTTAAGTGGTTATAGACTTTGGAGACACTTGGTGTCATCATTCTGTTCAGTGTTAAACGGTTTTTGAATGGTTAACACTAAAATGAGAGTCCCCAGTAGCCAATCCCCTGTGTGCTGCACGGACTAATGAGGAAGCTTTAACCCAAGCATGTCAAATTCAAAGGCTAGCACAGGCCAAATAAGCAAGGTTTAAGTTCATGTGGGCCACAAAAAAACAAAAACTTTAGTTTTCATAGAAACGTAGGTTTATTTAGAAAAAAAGTTGCCTGATTGACACTGGACATACTCACACTCTTAGGACTTCAAATTAAACAAAAGGGTGAATTTATTTTAACCCCTTAGTGACCAAACCACTTTTCAATTTTCTTACCGTTTGTGACCAGAGTTTTTTTTATATTTCTACGTGGTTTGTGTTTAGCTGTAATTTTCCTCTTACTCATTTACTGTAAACACACATATTATATACCGTTTTTTTCTCGCCATTAAATGGTCTTTCTAAAGATTCCATTTACTATTAAAAAATTATAAAATTTGATGAAAAAAATTCATAAAAACACACTTTTTCTAACTTTGACCCCCAAAACACCCATGATAAATAGTGTCTAAATTTTGTCATGAGTTTATAAATACCCAGTGTTAACATGTTCTTAGCTTTTTATTGCAAGTTATAGGGCAATAAGTACAAGTAGCACTTTGCTATTTCCAAACCATTTGTTTTCAAAATTAACGCAAGTTACATTGTAACACTGATATCTGTCAGGAATCCCTGAATAACCCTTCACGTGTATATATTTTTTTAAATAATACAACCTAAGGTATTAAACTTGGGGTATTTTGACTCTTTTCATGCAACCATTTTACAACCAATCTATGCCAAATTTATAAAAATAAATAATTGGTGAGTTTTTTGACACACACACAGCAATTTAAGAATAAATGTACTCAGAATTTTAAGGGTTGCTGCCAAAGTGTAGAATATTGCATATTATATATGTTCCTATTCAAATACATATTAAGGTGTGGCTGTGTAATGGGTTAAACAGAACAGATGGCGTTTGCTATTCTGTACCATGGGGTCTCTGGAATTTGCTGTATAAGAGATTTGAGGTGGTCTTTATATAGGGAATTTCCTTATATGGCAGAGTCTAAACTAAACGTTATGACGTAATTTGGGCTCTATAGAGCCAAGGACAAAGGACCACGCTCTCTTCCTTCTACGATCCGTTTTGCTCTCCTCTCTGATGTCCTGAGTTGCTGATACAAAGACGACTCTCTGTAACGTCATTAAGAAATACCATCTGTTGAGTATATTATTGTTTGCTGTTGAATGTAGAATAAATACTTATTTTTTATAAAGAACGTCAGATTGCGTATTAGTACTTTTCAATAACATAGACATATATTATTGTGGCGAGCCTGACCCAAAAGAAGAAATATCTATATATATATATACGTAAAAGACTTATTCAACTAAAGAAAAACACAGCCAGTTATTACACAAAGAACACCCCAATATGTGTTCAGCAACATCTCCTGAGTACAGTGATACCACCCATGTACAGGTGTGTCGGTTTCTCTGGGGGCTAAAAGACCTTATTTGGAGGGTGCGCATTCCAGTTTTCCAACTTGGAATTTTCACAGCTGGTCATCGAGCACCCATGTCCTATTTGGGAAATTTTTTAAGCCGACCAATATAATTTACTCCCATCAAACCATATATTTTTGAAAAGTAGACACCCTAGGGTATTTCAAATGGTGGTATTTTAACACTTTCCATGCACTAATTCTACCACCAGTCTTTGTCAAACTTTTGTGTAGTAATTTTTTTGTTATTTTTCTCTCACATTGTACTTTAGGCATGGATTCCCAGTTCCTGTTATGTGTTACTGACAAAGAACACCACAAAATGTGTTCAGCAACATCTCCTGAGTACAACAGTGCCCCTAATGTGAAGGTTTTATGGGTTTTCACAAACTTACTCAAACTCAAATGTAGGGCTTTCCCTTTTTCCATGTTTGCACGTGAAAATTTGCCAGATTGGTTTGATGGACCTATGTTGCCTTTGAGACCGTATAGCAGCCCAGGAATGAAAATTAACCCCATCATGGCATACCATTTGTAAAAGTAGACAACCCACGGTATTCAAAATGGGGGTAGGTCCAGTCTTTTTTAGTAGCCACTTAGTCACAAACACTGGCCAAAATTAGCATTTATATTAGTATTTTTGCATTTTCAACACATAAACTGCCATTTCACCGATGATATTATCAGTATAATACATTTTACTGCTTTAAAACACTCATATTTGTGTAGAGTAATGTTTCAAGCATACAACAGTACCCCTTAAGTACAGATTTTATGGTGATTTGGAAAGTTACAGGGTCAAACATAAGATTTGCCGATTTCAGTTTTTGTAAATTGCTATTTGCCAGATTGGCTATGGTGCCTTTGAGAAAGTATAGCAGCCCAGTAATGAAAATTAACCCCACCATGACATACCATTTGAAAAAGTAGACAACCCAGGTTCAGGATCAATATAGGGCTTGCCCAATTCAGTTTGCCAGATCGGTTTGCTGGATCTGTGTTGCCTTTTGAGACCATATGGTAGCCCAGGAATGTGAAATAACTCCATCATGGCATACCATTTTCAAATGTAGACAACCCAGGGTATTCAAAATGGTGTATTTCCAGTCTTTTGTAGTAGCCACTTAGTCACAAACGCTGTCCAAAGTTAGCTTTTTATTTGGTTTTTGCATTTTTTTGTTAGTATATGATCATGGTAGGTTGGTTATATCATAAAGAACGTTATGTTAGTGGGCTGATTAAACATTATGTTCATTTTAAATTAACAATCTAACTGAGTAAAACAGGCTAGGGTTAACTGTGATATAAGATTAGGTACTGCCCTGCGTTAAAGACGGCCCTGGCTGCGTCAGCCTATTCCTTTCTTGGGTCGTGTGGCTGTTGGAGCGTGGACGCGTTTCGCCCCTCTTGTGATCTTGAAAAAGCCCACACAAGAGGGGCGAAACGCGTTGATGAGGAGTTCGTTTTTATCTTTTTCCATCTGGTGAGATTGTCAATACGTCTAGTCTCCTGTGCCAGCCGAGGTTACATCTGTGGAAGGGAGGACTTTACAGAGCATCCAGCCTGCCTCAGTGCACGAGACAAACGCTGTCTCCATCTGCAAACCGGACGGCACATTTGGGATACAGAAGAGACTGCAACCAGATAAGCTTTTATGTGGTCCTTAGAAATAAGCACCACATCTATTTCTTGTAAGGGTTTCTATGTTGGGGAGGGGGATTCCCTTTTTATGTTAAGACATTAAATACAGTATTATACTATGTTTATTTTCTGTCTTTCTTAAGGGATCTCCAGCACCAGTCTGTGTTTTCAACAACTTTATGGACTTCCCCACAGTTTGGACCCTGCTATAATATCATGTATACTGGATTGTGATATTGTAACAACTTTCTTTGTTTGGTTTTACAATTAGCAACATTGACACTTTTTATGCTAGATTTTGCATTACGTAGTTGTTTTTAATTGTTGCAGATACATTGGTAAATGTGTATACCCTGAACTAAATTTAAGGGGATTATCTACTAAGCGCTGACAATATAATCAAAAAAATTAAAC